TATCATAAGCTTAGGTGAATTATGTCCATTTTTAACAAATAGTATCAATAGTTAGCAAGTCTTGTCATTAATAACATGCAATTACACATGTGTTATACAAATATAATATATTATTGCCCCATCCTTAATATTTAATATGTTTGGCTAAAAAAAGTTAGATTTATTTCATGATTATTACAAAAGTGTACGTAAGGTGGTACATTTAATGTAATGTTAATTAATACGGTATCAATGAACACAAATTGAAAATAAACAAATGTCACATTTGAAATATGGTAAATATGTTAAATGAGTTCATTAAACGAATTAGCAATTATTGCAGTATAGAATCAATTCCAATAAATCATTATGATCATATTTGTCACTAAAAAAAATACTTTTTAAAACTTATTTGATTTATAAATCTATAAATTACTTAAACAATTGAATCAAGAGTTCAAATGAGATGAAGATTCTGCAGGAATTGATTAATTGTGATGTCAATGGAAAAACAGAAAATCGCATAAAATATACTAAATTAATGTTATTTATGTACAGTATTCTAATGATTGTGAAGTCAATTTTGATTTTATCGAAATTATTACATTAATTTAGTAATTTAAAAATTTACCAATATAGTCCCCATCTAGAAAAGGGCGAATTAATAAAAAGGACCATGAAAATATTGGTTAAATTTGTGATTCTATAAACTATATTTCCCGGTAACAATAAAATATGATTTAGATAAAATCATCAACCTTATCTCATAAATACTTAATAATATTAACATATTATGTAATGTTAACAAATAAAATAAATTAATGCCAAAACGTTAAAATAATTGCATAAATATTTTAACACATTTTATAATAAAGTATTTATAATATAGTTTTTAAATATCGAAATCAATATAAAATCCAGTTTTAATTAATATATTATTTCATTTTATTGCTCTCTTTTAATCACTTGTTATAATAATTATAATTACGTTAACGTAATGTTACAATTAAATTATGTTTCCATTGAATTGTAAAAAAACTTTTATCGAGTTTTCCCAAAGAGTAATGTAATGCAGAGATTATAAAAACATATGTTTGTAATAATAATCACTCAACACTTCCCTATTTAATGAATTGCAAAGTCTTTAATTCAACAAAATAACTTTTATCGAGTTTTCCCAAAGAGTAATGTAATGCAGAGATTATAAAAACATATGTTTGTAATAATAATCACTCAACACTTCCCTATTTAATGAATTGCAAAGTCTTTAATTCAACAAAAAAAAAATCAATTAAAAAATTAATGTCAAAAAAGTTAATAAATTGAATAAAAAATTAAAAACTCAACACATATTGAATACGAGTGGAAGAAATGAAACGGGAATTACATTTACTGTAAAAAATAATCGATTGTTGCGCTCGTATTGCACTATAATATCGATATAAGGGTTCGATATTTCCAGTGTTTCGTAATATTCCTATATTTCGTTTACAACGTATTCATAAGTTTCGTACATATTCTGGAAAATACCCTAAAAGTGCCCTAAAATGTGGGAATTCCTGGATTTGTGTGTGTAGTGAACGCTAAGTGCACTGACTATAGAGAATAGCTATTATTTGCACAACAGTTATTTTTACGCTTTGTTTTAACTTACATTTTTTACGAAAACTTTACTTAAAGATAAATTTTGCGTAAATTAATATCAAAATTAACTTCATTACTAATTTACTCAGAATAATTCATACATTAATTGATTCAACATTTGATTGAAACTAATTTATGGCAAATGTTTTGTTCACTACTTTTGATGACTGAATGAAAGTGTGGTTTGAATGCAATTTATGGTATGTTTTGATCACATTTTTGTATTCAATTTGATTGCAATTAAAACGGATTTCATTTAAATAGCGATTGTTTTGAATCGACTTTAAGTGGCGTTTGAGACATGGATTTGAGGCTTATCTCCAACTATAGCCTAAGAAGTGATGCAACGCTTCAGAAAGAGGTGTCCATTAATGATAACGATATAGCCTTTGAGTACAACGTGTTTAACACATGTTTGCTTTGCTTTGATTCGCAGACAATTGAATACTTCGAGCGCTTAAAGAGCGATGAATTCGGTTGGAAGTTATGTGTGGACTGTCTTGTGTCCAATCAAGTGGTGGACGAATCGGCCGTTTTCTTCTGCCTTCAGGTCATCGAGAATTACATCAAAACCAGGTCTGAATCACTCACTATCTCTGCGCTCATGAATCACTCAACGGTTCCAATGAATCCATTGTTTACGACAGGTATTCGAGTGATAGCGATGAGAGGAGAGCTGTGTTGAGACGATTCATCTTCGAGTGGTTTAATTGCAACCACTTTTCGTCGAATTATATTCTCAACAAATTGGCATATATTGTGAATTCAGTCTTTTTGCTCGACTTTCCGCTCCAGAAGTGGAACACATTCTTCGCCGACATCTTAAGCGTGTGTCAGAACCAACAGAATTGTGATCTTTTTCTTAGAATTTTGCTCCAAATCAATGGAGACGTCGCCGACAGAGAGATTCCCAGAAGTGCTAAGGTTTGCATCGATCGAAACGTTTGACAAATTTTGTTAACATTGTATTTCTGGTGATCAGGAAATGGAAAGAAATACCATTATTAAGGATCTCATGCGAGAGACTTGTCTCCAAGAATTGGCTGATTTCTGGCTCAATGTTATTGTGAGTTGTTTTGTACGGTCTATGAAAAGTGAATAATCTATAACTGAATGCATTTGTTATAAATGAATTGACAGAACACTTACCGCGACTCGAGTCCAACGACAGTGTGTTTATGTGTGGAAGTGATCGGCGCTTATGTGGCGTGGATTGACATCAATCTGATAACCAACGACTCAATTATGACTAATTTATTTAATTTATTCCCAATCGACACATTCCGATGCTCTGTCACCGACTGTTTTAATGGTATTCTGCATAAAGGGATGGACTCTTTAGCCAAAACCCAACTCATCGAGCAATTCATGAATGTCGAGTCAATCAAACATAAATTGCTTCTCATTTGCGACTCAACTCATGCCAATGAAAGCCAAGGCAACGACAGCTTATTTACTGTGAAGTTCTCTAAACTAATGAACACTATTGGCATCGAATTGATCGAAGCGTTCAAAAAGTTTAAAACTAAAAATGATTTAAATAATCCACAACTCGACAAGAGTTGGAACATTCAGGCGCTGTCCTATATATCGGATGCAATTGAGTCTAAATTCACCGTTTTGTGCCAATTCTTATCACATAAAAACAATTTAGTGTCACTTCAAATACATCCCTTCACTCGAGAGTACATACAATGGGCCAAAAACTCGTTGACCAAAAAGGAGAGCAACAGTACGGCTGTTGTCGACAAGACATTAGAGGAGAAAATGTTAATATTTTTGCGCATAATCATTGAGAAGTGTAAATATCCAATGGATCACGACTTCAGTCTCGAAGAAGAGACCACTTTCGACGAGTTCCGCAAGTCTTGTAAAGTACTGTTCGATAACCTAATGCTTCTTAACTCTTCGGTTGTGATTCAAACGATATGCAGTCAACTCATCGAACCATTGCTTATGAATTGGCGAATGTCTGCCAATAGCTATTCATTCGCAGACATCGAGATATGTCTCTACTATTTCTATCTAATCGGAGAAAACCTAAGTTTTCTCAACGATACAAAACGTATTGAAATTTTGCTCCAATTATTGATCACTTCGTCGATCTCTACTTATCCCCACTCTTACACGCAATCCATTTATTAACTAAATTAAAATTCTATGCTTTTCAAAAAGCGTTTATTAGACTTAATAAACCACGGTGTCTAAGACTAGAGTAAAGACCTGCTTGCGCCGAAATTCTTGTTATCGGGATTTTACTCCTCATTTCAGGCGCTCATATTCAATAAGTTTGTCAAATCTCAGATCAAATCCAAAGCTAATGACAAACAACAGAACTTTACTGAAGACATTCTCAAACGACTGCAAGACTTCCTCAAACTGGACATCATTGCGACCGAAACGGACGACACGACTAATGCAGTGCTCACTAAAGCAAAGAATGTCAATATTTTCGATGACATCCGTTATTCCATTACAATTGAGGATCAGTTGAATGTTTACGAAACGGTTTCCATTCTAATCATTTCCAATCAACATTTCGATTGCAATCGAAAACAGTTTTTAATGAAGACTTTATTAATTAATCCAATTTGGGATAAATTTGAAGACATCTGTTTAAAGCTGTCCAATGAGGTGAACGCTGAAAAGGGCAAAGTGCCCAATGAATCGAACCAATTTTGATTTAATTTTAAGATACGAAAAGTTTTTCGCAAATAATCTGAATTATTTGGTGCCACAGATTCTGATCTCATTTCTGGACGAACGCGGCTTTAAGAACAATAGCCCTAAAATGAGGAGTAAAGTCGCGCTTATGTTCAATAAGTTCGTCAAATCTCAGATCAAATCCAAAGCTAATGACAAACAACAGAACTTTACTGAAGACATTCTCAAACGACTGCAAGACTTCCTCAAACTGGACATCATTGCGACCGAAACGGACGACACGACTAACGCAGTGCTCACTAAAGCAAAGAATGTCAATATTTTCGATGACATCCGTTATTCCATTACAATTGAGGATCAGTTGAATGTTTACGAAACGGTTTCCATTCTAATCATTTCCAATCAACACTTCGATTGCAACCGAAAACAGTTTTTAATGAAGACTTTATTAATTAATCCAATTTGGGATAAATTTGAAGACATCTGTTTAAAGCTGTCCAATGAGGTGAACGCTGAAAAGGGCAAAGTGCCCAATGAATCGAACCAATTCGAAAACAGTTTTTAATGAAGACTTTATTAATTAATCCAATTTGGGATAAATTTGAAGACATCTGTTTAAAGCTGTCCAATGAGGTGAACGCTGAAAAGGGCAAAGTGCCCAATGAATCGAACCAATTGCTTGTTAAACAATATTGCAATCAAGTCTCGCATCTCATATCACTGGCCGCCCGAACCTCCAAAGCCTTCTCTAATATACATACTATTAAATCTATTGGACTGCAAGAACTATATATCCAATCATTTAACCTCTTTGTGAAATCGTTGAGTTTAGGGCTTAACGAAGATATGCTTTTCATAATCCAGTCGTCGACGCGTCAATTCCTGCACCGCTGTGTCGTATGTCTCGATGAGAGCGATATCGTGCCACTCCTTCCCTCTGCCATTCAAAGTCTGTTTCTGCTCTCACAAGAGCTCAACACCAAAACACTGCAAGAATTGATTCCACTTCTCAATCAAGTGGTCACTAAATTCAAGCACTCGTGGCTTTTCCAAAGAGATTTGACGCCATTCTTCAAACAAATCCTATCGCCTTTGATTCTCTCCTGCTTTTCAGTTATCGCTCAGACCGTCAATAATTCAATCAAGTGGTCACTAAATTCAAGCACTCGTGGCTTTTCCAAAGAGATTTGACGCCATTCTTCAAACAAATCCTATCGCCTTTGATTCTCTCCTGCTTTTCAGTTATCGCTCAGACCGTCAATAATGAAGAAAAGCTATCAATTCAGAAGTCTTACTACTCTTTGCTATCAATTCTTGTCACTAATAATATTATGGATCCATTCCTTGCAATCGGTATATAATTTTGACATTTAATGAATGAATAATTAGATTTCAATGAATGTTATAATTGCAGAGATGCCTCTAATGGAACAGATCTTAATCACAGTATTTCAGGGATCCATTGATTTCCCCGATGCTGTCACACAACGAGTTTGTTTCCAAATTCTCCGCAAATTTGTTGAATTTTATGGTAAGAATTGTATTTACCTTACATTGTATTATAGGATGCATTATAATTGTGACAATTGGTGTCTATTTAACAGGCAATTCAAGTGAAGGAGCGATCAGTGATAAGGAGGTAAAGGTGGCGGAGAATGAGGCTCAAAGTGTGGGCAGCAATGAATTCGTACAATTCATATACAAGTCTATAATCCCGGCCTGTTTTGTGGCCCCCATTCGTCAAAACTCTGACTCGCAATTAGTCAATGAGTGTTTGTCTTGTCTTAAGACAATTCAGTCAACGCGAGGCACCCCTGAGTTGTCCGCATACCTGTCCTCTCAGTTCTTTCCCCAACATTTCCCAAATTATATCAATATCTCTCTCTCTCTCTCTCTCTCTCTCTCTCTCTCGCTTTTAATTGCATGACTTTTGAAGATTGAAATGAAGACAATTGGAAACACTATTTGTTGAACACTTAATCACTTGGATTCAACTTCATAAAAACTTTGTGTGCATTTTGTGTACTGTTTGTGAATTTGATTCACAAACCAATAGTAAGTGATACTAAACTGACCGTAAACTTTGGTTATTAAATAGAGTGCCAATTATTAAGAATTGACATCAACTTAATTATAATAATTTTACACAAACTATAGTTCTATACAAAACATTAAAATATTGTAAAGAGAAATGCGCCTAGTACATTACATTATTTTAATTTAAAATATGTTGAGTAACAAAATCTAAATTACCAAGCTATAAATGTGATCAACAGTTGCTCGTATAGAAAGTATTGCTTATTGCGGACGGAATTAGAATTTTAAGGCAAAACTTTTTAATGCGGATAAATATAATTAAAATAACAATTATTTTTGACCATAAATTAATAAAATGATCACATTTTACAGTTAAGAGTGAAAGTGAGTTAGAAAAGTGTCTTCAACTATATTGAAATCATCATATTCAAATGTATATTGTATAGACGAGAAACATAGGACTTTGACCATGTTAAAAATTTATAGTTACTGTACAGTGACGGTAGATTTGTTGCCCCTATAAAAGGATGTAACATGATCAATGATCACATTAGATCCGATGGTTTTCAATGATGATGTTTACGTTATGTAAGCATTCAATTGAGTATTACATGCAATAGTAAACGAGACAATTAGGTATTGAATTAATGAATTACTTTATTTGGTTTTAGTTTGGGTTAAAATAAATATAATTTAATATTTATATATATAATATATAAATGCCATTGAATTGTAATGTACTATACATTGAGAGACATTAATGTTTATAAAGAATATATGTTTATAATTGCTTTTGAGTGCAAACAAAAAGTTTGAGACTATTTAGTGGTTATCACTAAATCACATAAATATAATCACAATATATTTATTATAGATAATGACATTTTTAATCATATATTAATATAATATTTTTCTTATGGTATAACTCAACGCATCTGTAAATTAAGACTAAAAGTAATTTCAATATAAGAGATATCAATGAGAATAAAATACAAGTAAAATTAGTTTCAAATAAAAGGCACTAATTATTTCTTTTAAAATTCAATAAAACTTTTAAAAGTATTTATTATTATTTGTTGAAATGTCGATGAAATGGATGAAACAAAAGTTAAGTGATGTAATCGGCAGTAGTTTTTTTATTTACTCGCTTTTAAATTGTTCAAAATATATAACCATTTATTACATTAAATGAATGCCTAATTGTTTAGTCGACAAAACAATATGTTTTAATCACCAAAACAAGTGCTTATTTCCACATATAAGATATGAATACGTTTAATGACTATACAGTACTGTATTTATAAAGACAATTACAATAAATGTTTGCATATTTATAACAATATAGAGTATAAATCATTTGATTGTTAGCCAGTATTTGAGTACAAAGAGTAATTAAGGCGGGATTTACGGTAAAAACTATCTCTTTATAAATTTATAAATCATAAGCAAATGCTAACAATCTATGCTTACGCTGTCCTCACATTAATTTCGAAACCAATTATTATTATGAATTTTAAAAATGTAAATACAAATGAAAACAATGTAGAAATTGAGTGACAATTAAAGTGATGGTCGGATAAAAATATTTACATATAAATTCAAGTCTAAAGTAATGGTAAAATTTAAAGTTAAGAGATTGTAAAAGCGTTTGTTTAGATAGAAGTCGGGACATAGAAGTTAGAGTTCGCACACTTTATAACTACCGGTAAGTCTTCGTCAACTAATTTACTTTTTGGCGAATTTAAGGACACTTTCAAGTGTTGTGAATCAGACCCTATGTTCACATCGTTTGACATATCATTGGTTTTGTTGCAATCATTGGTAATTGTAGTGCTGTTGACGTGATTTTCATTCAACTGTTGCTTTTGTTGGGCAAAACAAGACGAACACAAATAATTGTTATGCGAAGTGCCAAACATTTTACACCCGGTATTCACACATAACGTGAGACTATGATTAGTCTCCGTATTTTCGGTATTAGAGCTGGATTTGGATGTAATGAGTGGTGCATTAGTCGCTGGAATCGACTTTTTCTCTCGCATTTGTCTCAGGAATCGAGCTCTGGCTGTGTTTAAATAGTTTCTAATCATCTCATCGTAATATATATGCCGTCTGTCTGTATGCAAAAGCGCGACAACTATTGTCGACGAGTCTATCAAACAGATGTTTAGCTCACAGTCGGAGAGACCGTCCTTTTGGTGTTCACTAGAGTTAGCGTTGGTTTTAACTGAATTCAAATCACATGTTTTGGTTGGAGACAAAGCACTGGATTTACTACGAAAAGAAGTGCCTCTTTTGGCAAAAGTTCCCAAATTCTTCTTAATTCGTTTACTCATTCTTCCGAGTGATCCGAAATGTTTGGTAATCATTAACAACTGTTTGGCTGCTTTGGTACTGAAGGCTTTCGCTTTGCTGACACTCCCGCCAACACTAGAGGCTGACGGCGCGTCCGACGAGCTGTCGTCCGATTCAAAACTACTCGGAAGTGTTCGCGACTTTTCCATTGCACTTAACTTCGCGTTTCGTTTCACTGGCTTTTTATCAATAACTAAATCCGTCTCAGGTTTTGGACATTCGATATAATTTACATCAAAATATTGCTTCAAAAGCATTATTTTATCGCTTTCGTTAAGAGTCAAACGTTGGACCAATTCGTCGGTAAAGTGTTGCTCTTTTCTAAACACTTCTTCTCCCGGATCGACAACGAATTGAAGCGGAAGTATATTGTGCTCAAAATCCATTAGAGGAATGGCTGCGGGCGGTGGCGACGGATGATTGTCAACGAATTGAATCTCTTTGTCCATCGATACCAATGCCGAAAAGTGTGCGGCGTCTGCAACACAACAACATATAATCAATATATTGTTATAAAAAATAGTTCATTAAATACAAACCGTAAGTCAGACAAAGAGGAGATTTCATGAGATTATTGTCCGGACATTCGAGTGGAAGATATATTCCACCGAAAGGTATTGGAAAGAATGCTTCACCTGAAGACAGATCAGAGAAAATGTTACAAATAAAATATTTAGTGTTTAAAGGGCCGAACGATTCTATAAACCACATAATTCAGGGCTCAATTGTGGTAAAAAGTGTCATATCGAGTGATTACCGGTCAGGTCTTTAAGCATAGTGTCTGCGATCACAATAATAGGTCGCCTGAGAACGTGTGCCAAAGCAAAGATGTGAATCTCTTCCAGACTCTCATAAACGTGTGGCTGAATCTCATCCAACGGGTCATTCTTTTTGCCGCCATTTAATTCAGAACTCTTGTAATCAGAATGTGCTCTAACTCTGGGTTCAGTTGAAGCCATTTTCAACAAACAATCCCATTCTTGACGCCATTCGCTCTCTATTACAATCAAACATCAATTAAACGATTCAAATATATTTCGGTTGTATTGAAAATACCTGAGAATATAAGCCCTGCTTTAAAGTTCTGGAAATATGTTTGCCATTTCCATCGCCTATAAAACGCTGCCGTATATGAACTGTTGGACAGCAATGCGTGCAATGCTTTCCTTAGCACCAGTAGTCTGTCGTGAAAGCCCCACATCCCTGTCGTGGCAACCAATTTATTAAATAAACAAAATGAATATAAAATGCTTATAATGATGTTCACCTAATGACGCGGCGTGTAATAGACAGTTGCCGTCACCAGTGGTGGCCAATGGCCACAACTTGTGACATACGGCTGACCACCAGTTGAGTCTTTGGGAAGATTCGAGTGAAACGAGTGTCGACTTCTCAATCAAGTCGTGCTCTAAAAAGAGTCTGAAGTCCTCGGGATGTATGGAAAGGTCGGGTAATGTGAACGTGAAGTCCGGGGTTTCCAGAAAACTATTGGTGTTTAAGAGACGACTTCCGCGACACGACGTCTTGAAGTCTTGTGCGAATTCATTGCGCGCTTTGGACACTAAGTTGACATTATCTGTGGCTCTGGAGATGCCTCGACTCAACTTCTTGGTCGTCTCTTCCATCACATCTGCGGCCGAATCATCACATTTTGAATGAATGCCTAATTTCGATGGCGAGGATGTATTGGACGAGTCGTCTGAACACTGGGATGAATGCGATGATAGCGACGGCTCTGAACTGCACTTTATTGTCACCATTTGTGGCAAACAATCGTTTCCACACTTTTTGGTATTCAAATAGTTATTAATTTTGAGTTCATTTGTGTCACTGAATGGCAATGAATGGCAATCGTTGTCATTGTGAATGTCTTCGACGGGTTTCGTGTCTTTCATTGGAATCAAACCATTGATTCTGTAAAACGCTTTCAACGCTGACTTCAGATCCCAATTATTGCCTGAAATAACAAACAAATCAATTCAATGGTAACACCAGTGATGTGTCAATCAGTGCTTAAGACATACACTCGAGTAAATCGCGAGCAAACGCTGGATCAGCTGATGTCCGAGTGGTGAACTCGGAGAGTATGCGGTCCATGGGTTCGCACATGTCCTTCACATGAGATAATTGCCAAACGATTGATATATTGTATGCATTGAAGCAATGGTTGCAATGCTTTCAATCATATGATGTATTGAAATGACAAACCATTGATTCAATCATAATATTGTCATTCAAATCAACTCTGCATTCAATTCAAGCCATTTGTACGCAATTCACAGCATTAGTCATACAATCAGTCATTACTGCTGTCGACAAACGTGTATAAAAAGCACAGACACTCTCCCATTACATACACTCTCAGCCTTTTTATGCCTTTTCGACAACAATTGGGCGCATAATATGCAACATAACCTTCACATTGTGTTCGTTATATAAGAGTTACACTGTATTCAGTGCTGTAACATTGCAGCACAACTGCATTTCACACACCATTCATAGATAACGTTACTTCAATTGAGTCAACAAGTTTTGGCAAAACAATGTTTTGTGAAATTTTCACAGTGAAAAATACAGATGGTTGAAATATTACATTGTCACAGCAGCCAATTATAATAAATTAATAGCATAACGTAATCAATTGTTTAACAAATGCCACAGAAAGTATCATTTATTGAATTCATTTGAACCAATGCTTCAAAACAACAAAAACAAAACTCAAAACAAAACGACAAAAAAGTTAAAGCAAATGATTAACATTTGAAAAACAAAATTAATTCATTTTTACAGACAATTAATGGCTTAAATATAACGTAAATATATTATAATAACATTTATATGAATTCATACGAAAGTTATATTCAATTATTATTTATATATAAATTTTAAATATAAATTAAAATATTAATTTAAAAAAATAGATCTCTTATTAATAGTTATGTGATTTCGTTTTGTTTAAATTGTTGACAAAATGTTTTAAACGCACGTTTAGCTACTTTCAAGTCGTTGTCAATCAATGTGTGAATCAATTGCGAACATAACTATATTAAACCCTTTACAACCCCTTTCTTGACTCTCCTGTCCATACGCCTGTTGAGTCCCCACGGAGCGCAACTGACTTAACAGAATTCTGTTCTGTTTGTGAGTAACTGATTAACGCTCAGCGAGTTCTGACGAATGGGGGCCACAAAACAGGCCGGGATTATAGACTTGTATATAAATTGTACGAATTCATTGCTGCCCACACTTTGAGCCTCATTCTCCGCCACCTTTACCTCCTTATCACTGATCGCTCCTTCACTTGAATTGCCTGTTAAATAGACACCAATTGTCACAATTATAATGTATCCTATAATACAATGTAAGGTATATATAATTCTTACCATAAAATTCAACAAATTTGCGGAGAATTTGGAAACAAACTCGTTGTGTGACAGCATCGGGGAAATCAATGGATCCCTGAAATACTGTGATTAAGATCTGTTCCATTAGAGGCTTCTCTGCAATTATAACATCAATTTAAATCTAATTATTCATTCATTAAATGTACAAATTATATACCGATTGCAAGGAATGGATCCATAATATTATTAGTGACAAGAATTGATAGCAAAGAGTAGTAAGACTTCTGAATTGATAGCTTTTCTTCGTTATTGACGGTCTGAGCGATAACTGAAAAGCAGGAGAGAATCAAAGGCGATAGGATTTGTTTGAAGAATGGCGTCAAATCTCTTTGGAAAAGCCACGAGTGCTTGAATTTAGTGACCACTTGATTGA